TCAAGGGCTGCAATGTATACACCAACTCATGTTTACAAACAAACCGGAGCGCCCCTAGCGGATGCCTCCGGTGCCACGCATGCGCAATGGAGTGTTGACAAGAAGCTCGCTGCGCCCATAAACAAAGCATTGAAATGCGATGTTGTCGGCGTCGGTGTGAGTCCCCTGCCCTTTTTCGCGTTCGAATTGTTGATTCTACGTCTTCCTGGCAATGCCTCACTACTTGAGCGGCCTCAGCGAAATTACCGAGGCTCGTTACACCGCAAAACTTTGTGATAATAATGTGACATGCAGCGATTCATTCTGCATGGACGCCGCAGAATGGACACTAAGGCTGATTCGCATGATGAGGTTTCGCTCGCAATTTTCAACCGCAACGTCGCTCGGGCTGCAAAAGTGTGAACCGTAGCTGAGATGGTCGACGTCGATACTGAAAATCAGAAGCAGAATTGGACCAAGTGAGTCAGCAATAACAAGTCGGTGATGGCCGCTGGTAACAATGATGAACATCTCCTTTTTCTACTGTTTACATCGAGCCTGCTTACCAACCTTCAATCTTAAGTCTTTTGAGGCCTGCACTTACTTCTTACCGCAAGTACCAGGCCAACGTTTGGTCTACGGGCTGGTGTCGTCTAAAAGAGCAGACGACAAACAGAGACGTCTGAAACAGCAGACGACAGTTTGAACGATCAGGCGGCCGTTTGAACTTGAAGGCGCACTGAATGTAGTCCGCAGGTAATCCGTACGACTTGACCATTTTCCGGCATTGATGTTGGAACAAAACAAATAAATCTGATGACCACAAGTATCTGCGAATACAACCCAGAGTGCTCTTCGCCCAAGCAATCCTGGTGCGACGGCGTCTGGTTTTCCCTTTTTACGGCACATATCCACATTCTCGGACAAAACGAGCACATGAAAACTGACCTTCAATCTTTTCTCGACTCTTTTTGTACAGTCCCAGTCGCGGCTTTTGACGAGAAGGCAGGTTTTTGTCTCGTTCCTTTATAAAACAACGCAGGAATACACGTCTCACATGGGGACTTCTGCCCACAGCCACAGACCGGAAGTGCGCCCAACGTGCCACCACTGTGTTGTGACGTTACAGAGATGAGTTCGTGAATAGAGATTAGCACACATACTAAAAGCTCAAGTCTAGGGGAGTTTGCAGCTTTTGATTGGTTTAGCCAATCAACTGGTCTCCCTGTATCTGAACTGGTCTCCCATATGTGAACTGGTCCCCCATATGTGAGCTGGTTTCCCTGTTTAGATATGGGGACCTGTCGTACGTGGCATTAATCCATTTGCACTTAGGGATATGAGTAGACAGATCCAACCAGCCAGTTTCGCCATGCCACTACTACCGTAATTTAATCCGGGAACTGAAGTCCTTTTGGATGCGCCGTAACCTAGCTGATCTGGGTGCACGCAAGCAGATCATGAAGCAGCACAAGCGGTCTCGTGCACTGGCATCTGGCCCTGTGACCTACAAGTAAAATTCGGTGTTTTCATTTTTTTTTTTTTCAAAATTTGGCATAGTTTTTTTTGTGTTTATTTTAAAATTTAGTTTTCGGTCTTTTTCTGTGTATATTTATGCCCACAAAAGTTTACCGTTTTTTTTCGGCGAATATGAAAGAAATATCATCGGACACTGGATCAGATGATTCTTTGATATCTGTGATACCTCAAGGAATAACGGCACAGATACATTGAAAAAAAACAACAAAAAAAAACAGAAGTACGAACCACTCAGTGCCCAAAAAACATGGAACTTCGCCTTCTCTACATCAGGATTATGCGATCTTGTCATAGTAAACACATATGTGCCTCACTACTGACACTACACTTGTTAAAAATATAACATACCACCCACCCATTAGTGACCATGACGTAATTCATTTCAACATTGAATTTGAAACTCAGCGGAAATCACCATATTTTAAAACAATTAAAGACTATAATAAAGCTAATTACTCCGCAATTAACAATGAGCTTGAAATATTTTTCGATAGTTTTCAGCATGACTGTATGAGCAGGACAGTCGATGAAAACTGGATTCTCTTCAGAAATAAACTTGCACACCTTGCCAACACTTACATCCCATCAATAAACATAACTTGTGACAAATCAAATCCCTGGTTCACAAAAACGCTTAACCAACTAAACAGAAAAAAGAAAAGACTATTTAGCCGTGCCAAACAACTGACTACCGATCTCGCTTGGAAGCAGTACAATGATATTGCTAAAATTTATAAGAAATCTATTACAGAGGCGAAGGCAAAATTCTTTAACAATGACTTAGTAAACATTCTTCGCAATAAACCTAAAAAGTTCTGGGAGGTAATTAATCCAAAAACGCCTAGACCGGTACAACTAATGAGCGATGATCGGTTGCCATTATCGGATGAAGAAAGCGCCAACTGTCTTAACGATTATTTCACCTCAGTCTTCACCACAGATGACCACAGTAACATGCCTCATCTTAACAACGCATATCACACTCCCATGGCTGCCATTGAAATAACGTATGCAGGTATCATAAGCTCTATAGAAAGGTTGCAGTTGTCGTCGAGTTCTGGGGACGACAAAATTAATTCCAAATTACTGAAAAACACTAAATTACACTCAGCTCGTTTTTTGTTAATAATCTTCCAACAATCTTTGTCTTCCGGCGAGCTTCCTACAGATTGGAAAATTGGCAAAGTGGTCCCCATACACAAATCGGGGGATCGAACTTCACCATCAAATTATCGTCCTATATCTCTAACCAGTGTCCCCTGCAAGCTACTTGAGCACATAATATATTCAAATGTCATGAAGCATTTCGAAAATAACCTCATCCTCTTTCCAAACCAACACGGGTTCAGACAATCATATTCTTGCGAAACGCAACTTGTACAACTTGTTCATGAAATACACAATAACATCGATAATAACATACAGACAGACGCCATATTCATTGATTTTTCTAAAGCATTCGATAAGGTATCCCACAGTTTACTCATGCTCAAGATAAACCAACTTCACATTCATCCACTCGTAACATCATGGATAGGACAATTCTTAACCAATCGTACTCAGCATACTGTGATTAACAACCAGTCGTCAGCTTATTCTCCTGTATCATCCGGAGTCCCCCAGGGCAGTGTTCTCGGACCTCTGCTTTTTTTAACATTCGTAAATGACCTACCAGATCGCATAACATCCTGTATTCGACTTTTTGCTGATGACTGCGTAATTTACCGATCTGTATCTAACCTGAACGATAACATAACCCTACAAGCTGACCTTAACCTAATAGCCGACTGGTGTAAACAGTGGAAAATGACAATTAACTTCTCTAAAACAAATCTCGTTTCCTTCACGCGTGCTCATAGTCCTCTCTCTTTCACTTACACCATGTGCAGTCAGGTAATTACCAAGTGTCCATCTTACAAATATCTGGGTGTTCACTTATCTGACGATCTCTCATGGAACACGCATATAACACACGTCCTGTCTAATGCTAACCGCTCTCTTGGCTATCTTCGACGAAACCTGAAACTAGCACCATCATCAGTTAAACAACTAGCCTACACTACACTCGTAAGATCGCAACTTGAATACGCGTCATCCATCTGGTCCCCTTGGCAACATTCATTGATAACAAACATAGAGGCACTTCAAAACCGCGCAATCAGATTCATTTTTTCAGATTACTCACGAGACACCAGCATCACTTCTTTACGAATGAAAGCTAACCTTGATCTCCTCTCAACCAGAAGGAAATTATCACGCCTGTCTCTTTTTCACAAGATTTACTATCATAACCATGACATCAGAACTTCACTATTATCCCCAGCCACTCGCATATTTCCTCGCATTGATAACGTCTGTAAAGTTCGTCCAATTTTCGCCTCGTCAGTTTCGTTTCTTAACTCCACCTTGCCATTCACAATAACTGACTGGAATAGCCTGCCTAACAGTATCGTGACCCAGACAGATTATAATACATTCATATCCCAACTGACCATCCATCTGCATTTGCACTAATAGCAAAGTCAACTCGTGTTTATAGAAATGTTTTATTTGGGTATTTTTCTGTTTCATCAGCTGTTTTTCCCTAAAAATGTTTTAAGTGTGTTTTTTCCTGTTTTTGCTGCTTTATATAACAAAGTTTTCCAGCATGTCACCCACTTTTTTGTTTGTTCATTTATATAATGTTTCTTCAGCAGTTACTACCACCTTGTGTAATGCCAGCAATGGCCTTCAAGGTTTAATAAATGATGATGATATGTACTTTCCAAGGTTCTCCTCGTTGATCCACACTCATTCGTTCCTGTTAATGACCCTGGGCTTCGAGAATGCCCTCTCAACGTAAACACTGGGTACTTGCAGGCTGAGGAGATGAAGCGGTGCCTGATGCAAAATCGACCAATCAACAAAATGTGACTAGCAGAAGAGACACGGTGCGACGTTTTGAAGCACAACATATTTTGTGTACTCACTTCACTAAACTCTGGTGGCAGATGTTCCATGAAGCTAAAAACCTTATACTAGCCCACACCCTAGCTTTCTTTTAGGACCAGGAACTTGACACACTAAGCCCGTTCACAGAAACGACACAGAGGTCCCGCGAAGAACAACCCAAGACCTCTTGTGTTGCCTGTAAACCTTGGAAGAGGGCAATCACGAAGAGGTCACAGAGTGTCGAACCTTGCAACGCCCTCTCTACCCCCCCCCCCCCCCCAGATCTGCAGGCGACCCTAAAAATGTGACCACTTTTGGTTAAAACAGAATTTTAGAGAATGCATTCGGCTTACTTTTATCGGTTTAAACCGAAAACGCCGAACCTAAAAACTCACCTTTTTCGGTTAAAACCGAATTTTCAAAAACGAATTCGGCGTACTTTTATTGGTTTAAACCGAAAACTCCGAACCCTACCTACAAGCATGCGCAGAACAGCTGGTGAGATCAGTCTGTTGATACGGATTGACCCATGTGCATGTTGAAATACAGACCTATGTTTGTCATGCAAAGAAAGAGTATGAGGTGGGTCATTCCATGATAATCATTCTATTGAATAAATGCACGCCGAAGCTTGACTACTTAGCTTCTTAGTGGAGCCTAGAATTCAAGCTTCTATTTTATGTCCTGGAGCAGTTCGCTGAGGTAAGAATTGATCAGAGAGATCCTCCTGGATTGGGACTTCTCTCGGGGCTTTCTGTCCACATACTTGTGAAAGGCATCTGAAAAAGAAAAGAAATATACTAATCAGTCGCGCACTACTTCTTTGTCTTCCCTCAAAGTTTGTATAAAAAGTATAATATTTATTTGCTGCAGTAATGAACAAAGCTAATACACATAAAGTTTTGCCTTGCCTATGACATGAAAGGGCCCTCATAAATTGCTCTTAGCCCCTTATTGTATGCTCGAAAGAAATCTTTCATCGAGCAAATGTCCTTCCTAAAACGTGCACTGACAGCAAGCTCTTAAAAACTAACTTTGTACCCTCAAAGCTGTAGGTCATGCTGGATGTCAGGGTTGTTCACCTATAGCTTGTGCCGGTAACCACATATTAATACCTCCTATAGAGCTCCACCATTCATGGAGCTTGGCGTGCGCATTAAATTACCTATAAAATCTCATATAGAGAATTCCACCTTTAGAAATTTGCATGTTGTGATTTTTGCAACAAAGAGAAAGAAATGGTGCTTGCTTCACTTTGGTTTTTTGTTTCAAACTTTTGTTCTGAATTCAAACTTTCAAAGGCCCCACAATATTTCATCTCACAAATTTGCAACCGCCCCAACTGAAATCTGAGGTCTGCAACGCCCCTAAGAAATAGGCGGACTACTGTGGATTACCTCCACCTTTGCAGGAGTCGGGGCCCTCTTGGCTATTGGTCCTTTAAAGCGCAAGCAGGGTTTTCCGGTTACACTCCGCATTTGTAGGCTCTCGCGGTCAAACACAAGCTTGGCCGCCTCCTTGATAAACATGGAGTCGCCCCGCGCTCCCATAATGTACGCCATCTTGTCTGCCCTCACGAGCACACCATTTCCAAGGTGGACCTGGAAAGGAATTAATTGACAGATACACTATATTGTCACGAATGGCAAATGATGAGGCGGCAAATAACTGGAGAAACTAAACGTTTAATGGGGCGAACTTGTGCCCCAAAAAATAGAAGGTTAGCATCGCAGGCATCGATATCGGCGAAACAGCAGGATCGAGCACTGGGGCGACTGACTCCGGCTTGCCACGCAGAGCTCTTTATGTATCCGCGTGGGTTTCTGGAACATTCGGTGCGTAGAACATTCATACCTCAATCAGACGACAAGGTTCTCAAACTTACAAGAACGCTAAATTGAAAGAATAAATGAAAGGAGCGTCCGCTTCCAGTAATCTAACCTGGGGCCTCTGCGCGAAAGCCAAGCGTGGTAACCATTTGGCTACGCATGCGCTCGCTCGGCGATGCGCGTGGCAATATATACAGTTTATGCACGCGCACACAAAGGATTACAATTACTTGCCAGTCGTAACACAATATAGCACACTTTGGAAAAGCTGTGAAGACAACGATACACAAAATAGTGTTGCCACCATCTACAATAAAATTCGAAAGGTTGTTTCGTAAGGTGGGAAAATCGAGTTCTGATGACGCGTCGGTCTGCTTGCGTTGTGCCTTATAAATTTTGCTTGTGGACAACTTCATATGCTTGTTTTCTACCCTGAAATCAGTGCATGTCTCTGATCTTGCAGTCATGCTAGATTTCATGACAAGCACTACGTTGATGCTGTCCAAAGCAAGGTGTTTTTTTTTTCTAGTCTTCACGCCTCTCTGTAGTGAAAATATACTTCTTAGTCTAGCATTGAAGTGAGGCAGCGTTAGCACTAGCTTCGCCCGGCAAACCATGTTTTCAAAGTTGGGCTTGCCTTCAAACGTTTTGGACATTTCGTCCCAGAATGATGTGGCGGGCTTGTCTTGCAACAGTGCATTCTTGGGTTCAGTGAAAAAAGAAGGCAGCATTCGCCATTTCCTCTGCGGAGCGTCGACGCATGGCAACAGATAAGCGTACCAGCTTTGCAGGACTGACAGCTGTTTACGAGCTTCGTAGTTCAATGCTGTGCTGGGCTGGATGAATTGCACCTTGTGGTAAAATGGTCCGGATACCGGAAGCCTTTGCTTCACCTCAACGACAGCCGTCTAATAGAAAGCCTTAGGTGCTTGACATCCGAGCTTCCCCCTTCCATGCTTTGAAGAAGCTCTAGGCAGCTCTCTTCAAGGTAGACTTCCCCCAGCAGAAGAAGCGAACGCGGATCCATGGGGTTCCGCTTCTCGACATCTTGAATTCCTTCAGGTCGCATGAAATTTTGGCGGAGGCACCAAATGAGCCTTGGGCTTTCTTGTTGCATGACAGCAATGAGGTTCTCTTTGCTCTGAAACAGAGCATTTATTTTGTTGAAAAACCCCAAGACGGAGGCCACGAACTTCAAATATGCCCCGTTAATTGGGTTCATGTCGGCCAAGATCAGCCCTGCGGCTGAAACTCTGTCCTCTGGTGACGCTTGCAAAAAAAGCAACTTCAATGTGTCCCATTCCTGAAGGATGCGCTCGACGCATTTTTGCAGTGCCGGCCACCGTGTTTCGCTCGGCCTTAGGATTCTCTGCTTCTCCGTCTTAAAGTATTCCTGCAGACCAGCAAGCTGAGCTTGGCACTTGCTGAATGGTGCGAGCGTAGCAGCTTTTTGAGGTTTCCATTTTGAAAGTCCCTACAAACTCCTCGAAAAGTCAAAGTCTGTCCCTACGTCTCTGCAGCGTAAATAAAAAGTAACTGCTGATGTCCCTACGAATAGCGACGTGTCCCTACATCTGACAACACTAACTGAGGCATCAGTTTGCCGTTTATTTACATTTTTTTTCTGGCATAGTGGCCCTGAGCTTGGCCACGTGTATTTCAGATACTGCATGCATTAAATTGTGTATACTGTAAAGTTTAGCATAAACGCTTGCCCCCAAGAAATCGCCCTTCCCATTTTTTTATTTGTTTATTTATTTGGGAAAGTAAGGTCGTTGCGAAACGTGTCACATCCATACCAAGAAGGTTCACAGTGCCTCTTAAAAAAAAAGGGGGGGGGGGGTAGGAAATATGAGTGAAGAAGGGGGCAAATAAATAAATAAATCGCATCAGCTGCGTGATCTGCAATATCAGTTCGTGACAAGTGTGTTCGCCGCGGGTTCCCTCGTGCTTATTGCATTGTGACATGCGACTCTGCAGCGTCCGCAATCTGCAGGTATCCATTCCCGTGAGGTGCAATTTTTTAACTTGTTCCCGTGTTTCTTTTTTCTTTTGTCTGCGATTTGCGTGCGCGATATTGGTTCCCGTGATACCCAAGTTTGTAGCGGGTTTTTGCTTGTATATCGCGCTCTGTAGCGGAAATGCGCTGCGTTTGCGTTCTCGGTGATGTGATTGCTGCGCCAATTGCGCCAAACTGCGCCAAGGGGCTAACCCTGCTATATCCTGCTACATTTTGCCAAAATATGGGTAATCTGCGCCAAGCCCGTGCCAAAAGACTAATTTTGGTCTTTTTTCAAAAACAAAACTAAACTGAGTGCCGTAATTGAGCACGCGTAAGCTAGGTGGCACAAGCGGCCGCCCGACAGAAAGTGCCCCGCATCAATCGTTCATCCGGTCTTGCATCGTTTTTCCCACCGTCTCTCGTTTCCCGCCAGGGATGTTCCATACCTCGCTGAAGTATTCCCTTTCTTGGGCGTAAAATTTCCCTATTTGGGCACTTTTTCCCTGCATAAATCTGAAATATCCCTGCACGATGCGTTTGTTGTAAGGCGAGAGCTTCTCTTTCTTTCTCATCTCTTCGCTTTCACCTTGTGACAACATGCCGGCAAGTTTTTTTTATTGTTTTGGTGGTGCTGGGTGCTGCCTTGCTGTACCATCATTGGTGCTCCTAGGCTAAGTCCTGCGAATTCACACAATTTTTGGCTCTTCACGGTATTTGACAACACTTCTCGGTAGCTTACCGCGTGGCAAGCAATGGGCTTGTCGAGAGAAGTAACGCAACGCTTGTCTCGGTGCTGAGAAAGGTATTCAATGCAGAGCCATCATGTTGGGAAGAGAAACTAAGCGCTGCAGCTTTGGCTGTGAACACAGCCGTTAATTCAACTTTACAGTTTTCTCCTTTTGAGTTGATGCACGGATATGTGCCCAAACTACCCATGGAGAAGTTCCGGCACCTTGGAACCACCACCTTAGAAGCAAGACTCCTAGACCTTTCAGAATGCCGCAGCGAAGCGTAACAGAATTTTGAGCAAGCTCAGCAACTACGAAAACGTCGCTATGACAAGAGCCATCGCCATGTCACCTTTCAACCAGGTCTGTATGTGTGGCTTCGACGTCGAGAACCAATCACAGATGGCACTACAAAACTTGCTCCAACCTACAAGGGACCTTATCAAATCATTGCACAGAAGACTCTAGTCACTTATGAGATCCGCCGTAAAACTAATCCAGCCGACAATTCATCCAGAGACGAGAGAGTTGCGCACTCCAGTCAGCTCAAAGTATTCCATCCTCCATTTGTAGACCCTACCCTCCTTGCCCATCTGTGACCCGGATCGATAGCCAGTGCCAAAGCAGAACCTGTAACAACTGGACCGACAGCCAGTGCTGAAGCAGAACCCGTTGCAACCGGACCAACACCCAGTGTCAACACAGAACTTACAACCCCCGGTCCAAGCTTGAGGCCCCAACGAGTGCGACGCCTGCCCAACTACTTGACAGATTACGACCTTTCTGAATGAAAGCTTCGGGACCAAAGGGCCCCGTCGAAGGGGTTGTCAGTGGGAAAGTGGAAAAAGTAGGTGTGGAGAAGGACAGCGTTTGACATTCTTGGCAACACCTTCTTTTGGCACAACAAGATGGCACCCGAGCTGGGGTGGTGAATCTCAGTTGGATTAGGCGGCCTCACAACAAATTCTGCATGTGCTGCTTCGAACCAGTCCTCTCTGAGGATCAGGGGCAGGGGGTGCGCGCAAGTACCATCACCTCAACCACAGCGGAGATGAGACCGACGGAGATGTGGGTGCACAGAGGTCCAGATGGTACAACTGTGCCCCCACCAACGACGGCAATGGGTGGCTTTGTTCATGGTAGCAAGCTCAAGGTTCCGATGAGCTCTTGCGACAGTATGGTCAACTTAGACCCACTGTCAGGGAAAGTGTCAACCTTGCCGATTGTTGGGACGTCAGCTTGGATTACCGCACACTTGACAATTGAGCCCTCAAGTGGCTCAGAGTTCTGGAGGCAGGACATGGCAGAGGGATTGGTCTTGAAGGTGGCTGACTGCTGATTACGTGGGGTCCTTGCAGCGATGCATTTGGCGGAGAGGTGACCCTGATGCCGGCAATTATAGCATATGGCTCTGCTTAAGTCTTGGCCGGGGCGATAGGTAGGAGCTCCATGTCTGGACGTGATGGCAAGGTATCGTGCCTCCTGCTGTTCTTTTGAAAAAGATGATATGCTTTGTGGTATGGCAGAGACACGGTCAGCTCTATTTGAAGGTTGAGTATAGGAAGGTGTTGCATGGTGGTTCGGCAACTGGTGGCCTTGCTCTTGCAGCCTCCGTGCAGTTTGATCTTAGATCAGAATGGCTTAAGATCTGGTCGAGTCGTGTTACAATGTCCATGTATGCAGTACCGTCGCAGTGCACTGCGCTGTGATGGATGTCGCTAGATGTTCGTCATTGATGCCTTGAGCAGCATACTCTATGCGTTGAGCATCAGTCAGTACGATGGGGCATTTCGAGATGAGTTTCAGTTTGCTAGGGAATAGTTGACAAGGCTCTCTCCAGGCGACTGCACTAGAGCGGTGACCTTGTGCTGCCACTGCAGAAGCGTGAGGCGATCACCGAGCCGTGCCTGGAAGGCGGCCTTAAAGCTGTCGTCACAAGTTAGGCACTCGTGTCCAAAAACAGCTTTCCGGTTAGCGGCTGGGCCTCGAAGCTTGCCGAGAGCGACTGCGAGAAGTGTCGAGGGCTCCCAGGAAGCCAGTCCTTGAGTGCGCTCCAGCTCCTCGATCCGGTGACAGGCCGAAATACCTCCATTGCCACTAAAAGTTGGAAGCGACGCGGACAAATCCGGCAGAGTAGTCACCTGCACAGGGGCTGGTGCACGTTGAGACACGGTCAGTAACTGCTGCAACATGCTTGGCAGTGGCCGTGTGGACTGCGCCGGGTTGAGAGTGGGGAAAGGCGACAACTCTTGCGGGCCTTGTGCGGAGGCCGCCGAGTTGGGAAGGGGCAGGGGCGCGATGGCGATGGCGGGGGTTTTCGGGCGATGTCGTCCAGGAGGCAGCGGATGATCTCCTCCTTCGATCTGGCGACATCAAGTTTGCGACGAGGCAACTCGTCGCGAAGGTACTTTGCCGTAAAGCCGGCGAGGTCGCTCGGTGTGGCTTCGGCCCAGTTGACAAGAGGCATGGCGGGCGGGCGGGCGGGCGGGCGAAACAAAAGATGGGACTCGCTCTTCAGGCAAGTTAGGCGGGCGGTGCAGGGGGGTGAGTGGCCTCCGGGCTCTTTGACGGGTCGACTGCGCCAAATGTGAGGGTACGGATGACAGGGGCAGGATTAATCGTTACTTAAAGGCGTTTAATAACGATGGCGAACTCATACAGCAGTTATTTCGGCCACAAGGCCTGGCGGGAGCGTCACCCAGTGTACCCTGGAAGGGCCAGGCTTAACTATGTAAACAACAAGACGTCGGCAGGTGGCACTAGTAATGAGCCTGCTCACAGCGCGAAGTAGTTTGCACAAGATCTGATTGTAACAGAAGACCATGATGCATTTCACGTTTGAAACATTCACAATTTGAAGAAATAGCAACTGATCTTAAATCTAGGTACAAGTATCTTAATTTATCACATAAGGGTGGGAATTAGTAACCCTCTGCAGGAGCTTAACTTTTTTTACTGCAGTTCTTGGAGTGCCAAGGAGTATTGTATAACGCTTTATTGCCATACGATATATATGATGCGTATCAAGTATGTTGCTGTTTCCAACACAAGAAGCACACCAGAAAACACCAACTCCAAAACACCACCGCAGAAAATAAATAAACCTGGAAACACGGAATTGTACCGATAATTTACAAGACGTTTAAAAATATGTGAAATGCCTACTCGCCTGGCTCCATTCATTCGCGTTCTTCAAGGGGATCATGGAAGCACCTTGTGTGCAGTCCTGGGTGGCCTTCATGGATGTTGGTCACATGCCATGTGATGCTCGTCCATGCGTCCACAAGAAGGTAGCCGGTGCCCCGGGTAGCAGTCGCAACCCAGTACATGTGGTTCACAGCTGGCTGTGACCACAGAGCGAGCACACCACAGTCCTTCCCTTTGCTTGCAGCAGTCAAGTTCTTCTTGATGCCTGCGACTTGACGAGCAAGCAAAATTAGCACCCTTTATTTACCGTTTAGTAGCACCTGGTTTGCACGAAAACATCCTAGGATGTTTTCAGAAAACATCCTAGGACCCTCAAAAAACAGTAATGCACTTTGTCACTCATACTTCTCATGTTGCAGAATGTTTTTTGCACACGAAACAAGCAATGTTAGTGCAAAATGCATTGCAGTAATCATTAGTCTGAAAAAGGCAGAATTTCAACTCTATTTTGGAATCATTTTTGTTCACAATTTGTGAATAAAGGTAAAAATAAACTATGATCAAGATCATATATGTGAAATGAAAAAAAAATGAAAAAAGTGCTTTCAACCGAAGTCTGGGCCTACGATGCACGCTTACATAAGGATGTTATGCCACTAACAAGTGTTCAACTAACCCTGCTCCTAGACGTACCAAATACACATTCTTAGCAGCTGCTCTTGTGACAGAATGTTGGCTAATAGCAACAAAAATACACACTGCAACATGGTTAGCATGAACAAGCAAAAGCCACTTTTTCAAGATTTTCTCTTAGGATGCACAGGGTGTCATCAAACCTTCTAGTGCAGCAGCTAGTGCTCACCCAGCTAAGGATTCCCGTTAGATCCAATTAGAAGTCTAACTCATTTTAATTGGAACCAATTGGTTATACTGGGTTCTAGCTGGAAGCACACTGGCCAATGGGTATCAACAATTGGAATTATTTAACCAGTTGGAACCTGAATGGGTTCCAAATGGTTCTTGTTGGTTCCCATTGACAGTGAACAATTGGTTATCCGAAAACCTAACTGGTACCAATGGGGAAATTCTAATTGGAACCTAACAGGAATTTATAACTGGGTCGGGACCCTAACATAGACAATAAAATTTGAAGCTTGTCAAGGCAGTGTAAGAGCAAAAATGGTAAAAGGGCTGAAGTCGTGTTTGTGCTAAATTTGTAATAATGCGCGCCTGCTCTCCACTAGTATGTATTACAACCGAAGATTACTTCAGTCAGCAATACTTCCCCCTCCTTTGTTTGCAAGCAGTAGTTTTGTTTGTTTGTACACAGTGGCATTGGGTCCTTCAATATGATACTTACTTTTTGAGACATGCCAGATATCGAAATAGTACAGAACGGCTGCTTCCTGCTCTCTCATGTGCTTGGCGAGGGAATGGTGCCGGTCTGTCGTCAGGGGCCGCACCGTGAGGTCCTTCTCTTTGACGAAGTCCAGGGACCTAATCAGGCCCTCCTTTTCCATCTGCCCACTGTTGCGGACCGCCTTGCACTGCGTATTCAGCGTAAAGCAGAACTAGTTATTTCCTGTATCAGTATCTGCAATGATTATCACAGTTACTTACACCTAGTATTGTGCAGCATATCAGTTTCTCCACATTAAAGAAAAAAAAATTGTTTCACAGCTTGGCATTTATTTAAGATCATTAACTTGGCAACTATATTTGTCTTCAACCACAGTGTTATGATCTGCGTGACAGTAGTCCTTTGACATTCACTAGTGATACATTCTAA